CATCACCCCGGCCATGCTTTTTTACCCTGGCAGCAGCAAGGCCTCCCCATAGCAGTAGCTGAAGCCATTTTGCAGTTTTTCAACACAGAATTAGCTTCATCACATCCAATCAGAGACATCAGCACCGGCCCAGCAGTGCTCCGTCCTCAGTGGTCTGAATTTCAGCTCACAGCTTCCTTCCACTGAGCCTCTAAATTTTAATAATTCTAACTTTTTCCCCTGCACTCCCTCATACCTAGGGTGATAGCTGCTTTCTGCAGTCGCTGTCTCCATTACACCTTATAGTTCTCAATTTACCCTTTCAGTTATCTAGTTAACGATGTTATTCCTAGTTAACAATCCTTTATATTGAATTCATTCTTTCCAAGTAACTGGTGTGGTTTCTGTCTCCTGACTGCACCCTGACTGTTAATAATTAATTAAAAGATACGTTACCAACCCTTTTGAGTTGGTCTCCAACAAGGGTCCTTCTGCCCGATGTTGCTCACCCCAATAGAACAAGAGTTCAGTTCAGAAGCAAAGGAAGGCTTTGTTCTCTGATTAAAGAAGGAGAAGTATGAGCTCACACTCTAGAGCACACACTCTTCCGGACAGGCTGTGAGCCGGGCTGCTTTATAGGGATCTCCATGGGGAGGGGGCAGAGCTCTCATGGGGTAGGTGGAGCCATCCTGCTCACGTGCCAGATCACAGCGCCTAACACAGCATCTCTGCACACAGTCCGCCACCGCCATCTTGAATTGAGGCGTCGGGTGCAACCATCCTGCTCTAGGAACCCTGGCCTGAAGTGCCAGACCAAGGCCTCTGCCTGTGACACCCTATGAGCAAGTGACACTAGACCAAGCACAAAGGAACAGAAAAAGGTCAGACTTAATTCTATCACCCAGATTCTATCTTTATTTCCTGAGAATTGTTAATGGGCTTTGCTGTTGACAAATCCCTCTTCTCTTGTTTGTCCTGCTCCTCATTCTTTTTTTTTTTTTTTTGCGGTATGCGGGCCTCTCACTGTTGTGGCCTCTCCCATTGAGGAGCACTGGTTCCGGATGCACAGGCCCAGCAGCCACGGCTCACGGGCCCAGCCGCTCCGCGGCATGCGGGATCCTCCTGGACCGGGGCACGAACCCGTGTCCCCTGCATCGGCAGGCGGACTCTCAACCACTGCGCCACCAGGGAAGGTCCTGCTCCTCATTCTTGAGGGGAACTGAGGGGCAAGGGTCTGTCTTTTGCAACTGCTTCCTGCTGATTTGGGTGTCGTCATAACCCCAGGTAGAGGAGCAGAACTTCTCCCCAGCTGCCTTTATTTATGTTTGATTGCCACCAGGACATAGCCCTAACTCTTCGTATCCCTGAGTGACCACCATTTGTCTAACCCTTTGGAGACAAAGGACACCAGACAGTTTTTACGTGGCCCAAATATTAGCAAGAGAATAATGGTCACATGTCAAATTTTTCCTAAAAATGAAGGTCTTTTGCCTGTAGGTAGAAGTGTACCCTGATATCAAGGATCACTGCCAGGGCCTGAATAGCCCCAGTCACACTTTTGGTTGTTTTTTGGAAGATAAACTGCAGGTAAGAGAGAGGCTCACACGAGTAGTCAAGGGGACCCTTTGCCCCAGGTTGTCTCTCCAGAGGCTGGGGCTTGGGGTCCTCTTCACTTGAGTGTGATGTGTCCACAGATTGATCCCCTGCAACTTCAGGGCAGGATGGGTGGTTAGGGCCACCAAATGGGGCCCGTTCCACTTAGGAGTGACCTGATCCCTCGGGCTGCAGGTTTTCCAGGTTTTAGGTTCACCCAGTCTCCTGGCGGGGGTGGAGGGCTGGGTAAGTGGGTGCAGGCAGCACCTGGTTACCATATTCCGTGAGAGCTTTCATGGTTTCTCTTACCTGAAGGGCATACTGAGTTGTTCCATTTCCAGAGCATTAAGGTATCCTTTCTCTCGGGCTTGGGGAATGGATCTGCCACACCTGAGTTCAAATGTACTTAACTTTAACTTATCCTCTGGGGCTAACCACATGGGGAGCAGGGCAATGGAAACAATCGGATTTTCTTGGGTTTCCTGACACAGCTTGGCTAAGGTCCATTTGAAGTCTGATTGGATCTTTCTACTTTCCCTGATGATTGGGGTCTCCAGGCTGAGTGCAAGGTCCATTTTATGCCCAGGGCACTCGTTATCCCCTTCATAACGTGAAGCACGTATGCTGGACCATTATCGCTTTGTAAGGATCCTGGGAGGCCAAACCTCAAGATTATTTCTCTCAGCTGCCATTTCAGTTCTAGTGGAGAATGCTTCTATTCACTCAGAAAATGTGTCTACTAGCACCAGGAGATAACCTGAAATTGCCCAGTACTCTCAGTATGCCACTGAAATCAATCTGCCAATCTTCTCCAGGATAGGTCCTTCTAGTCTGAATGGGCCTTATCTAGGGGTCTCTGGGGAGTCCTTTTATACAGGGCTTCCCTCCTGTAGTGAGTTCCTTGTTGAGCCTCCTTGATGACTTGACAAGCTACAGTTTGGGGAAAGAAGTATTGCCCATGTTCATTAACTAGCCCCCCATGGCCTCCTAGATCTCTATTGAAGCCTCATTTTCAGGCTTTGTCTAATTCTTCCTTAGTGTAGATTGGGGGATAATTGGATGGATCTGGCCTTTGAGGTATGAGGGGTAGCTGCCAAGTTATTGGGTTCTGGGGCTGCCCTTTAGGCAGTTGCATCCACCTTGTTTCCCTTTATTACCTCTGCATCCCCCTTTTGGTGAACCCCAACCATGAATCACTACCACCTTTTTTGGAAGCTGTACAGCTTCTAAGAGCTTCAGTATTCTTAAGCCATGTTTCACCTGTTTGTTCTCTGCAGGAAGCAGACCTCTTTCCTTCCAGATATCCCCGTGTGTGTGTGTGTGTGTGTGCGCGCGCGTGTGTGTGTGTGTGTGCATGTGTGTAAGATGGCATATGCATACCGGGAATTTGTGTAAACATTTGGGATCTTCCCTGCCCCGAGCTCTAAGGCTCAGGTGAGGGCAATCAGCTCTTCCTTTTGGGCTGAAATCCCTGGGGGCAGGCTTTGTGCCTCTATGACTTAGGTCTTGGAAGTCACTGCATACCCTGTCAGGCTCTTTCCCTCTCTCATAAAACTGCTTCCTTCTGGGAACAATTCTCTTTTGCCTTTGGTAGAGGCTCACTTCCTAAGTCGGGGCAACTAGAATAGATTATGTCTATGGTTTTTATACACCCAAGCTCCAGGGACCCTGTTTCTGTAGGTAGCAGGGTGGCAGGATTTAGTGTGTGACAGGATTTTATGGTAGCCACTGGGTTGTCTAAAAGCACAGCCTGAACTTGAATAGACCTTAGGGGGTTTAGCCATTCTGTTCTCTTAGAACTTACTAAAGCCTGAACCTGGTATGGAGTCCATATAGTGAATGGCCAAATGTTACTTTTCAATTAAAGGAAGGTTGTAGCTGCTACCACCCATAAGCAAGGAGGCCATCCTTTACTGGTTAATTTAATTATTTAGAGAAATAAGCAACCACCTGAGTAAGGGGCCCCAGTTTTCTAGCTAATACCCTAAGGGTGATTCCCCTTCTCTCTTGAATGTAAAGGTCAGAGGGTTTAACTAAATCTGGGAGGACCAGGACAGGGGCCTGAAGTAATTGCTTTTTAAATTCTTGAAAGGTCCCTTCACATTCTGAATTCCATTCAAAAAGATCATCATCCTTTCCTTTCCACTTTTCATATAGAGGCCTATCTATTAGATCAGAGTTAGGGATCCAGGTGCAGCAAAACCCAGCCATCACCAGGAAACCCCTAAGCTGTCTTCTAGTTTTATGAGGGACAAGGCTGCAAATGGCTTCTTTCTTTTCCTGGGGTGGGATTCTCTGACCTTCTGTGAGAATGAAGACGAGGTAAGTCACCCTGGTTTGTGATATTTGAGACTTTTTCTTGGATAACATATCCTTTATCAACTAGGTGGTTCAGAATGGTTATGGTATTTTTGTCAGAGGCTTCCTTAGTAGGACTGGCGATCAGAATGTTGTCTGGGTACTGGAGGAGGATTGCCGACTCCAGATGCAGATCTTTTCGGTCTTTAGCTAAAGTTTCCCCAAAGATGCTGGGGGAATTTTTGAAACCTTGGGGCAGGATTCTCTAACAGTATTGCTGTTTTTTGTTGTCTTTGGGTCCTGCCACTCAAAAGCAAATATTTATTTAGACTCTGGGGCTAATGGACTACAGAAGAAGCCATCTTTTAAATCTAATACAGAATAAGAGTTCCTGGTGGATGGCAATGTGGCCAGCAGAGTGTAGGGATTTAGGGACTACTGGATGTATATCCTCAGTGCCTTCACTGACTGACTGCCCCAAGGTCCTCTACCATCTGGTATTCCCCATTGGGTTTCTTTGTGGAGAGAATGGGGGTATTACAGGCTGATCTGCGTGGTCTAATAAGGCCCTGTGTAACAGGGGCAGTGCCCAAGAAGGCCTCCCGACAGAGAGGGTACTATTTTCTATTGGGCCATGTATGTCTGGGTTTTAGATAAACTATCATGGGACTGGTTCCTACAGCTTGTCCTACCCATCCCTGGGCCCAGACCTGGGGATTTACTCCAGGAAGGTCAACTTGCTCTAGTCAGGGAGGTTTGTCCTCAGCCATAAACATTATCATCTTGTGCCCCCTGTCTAAGGGAATGCCAATCTCCAGCTTGTCTCCCATTAGGTGGATAGTAGCCCCCAATTTATTTAATATCTTTTCCTGCAGAAGTATAGGGCATTCAGGGACATACAGGAAAGAATGGGTGAGTATGTGTTCATCCAATTTACATTCTAATGGCTTTATGAATGCCCGTTCTTGGACCTTCCCTGATACCCCCATAATTTTACAACTCTTGTGACTGAGTTTGTCTTATCTGGCTTTCAGAATCGAGTAAGTGGCACCAGTATCAACTAAGAATTTGGCAGACTTTTCCCCTATGTCCAATGTCACCCGGGGCCCTTCAGGAGTCAATTGAAGTACCAGCTTTGGAGCCCTCTGGCCCCATTATTCTTCGTCTCTTTGGACCATCTGCCTTCAAGGGTAGTGGCCGGGATCTGCCTTTTCCGTCCCCCTTCAGGGCGGTGAGGGCATTCTCTCTTCCAGGGTCCCTCTTGTTCACATATGGTGCACTGATTGGGTTCTAGTTTCCTTGGCGTGTTATCCCTCGATGGGGGCCGGGAGGTCACTCAACGGAGTCAAGAGTCTCTGTGGGCGGTTGGTCCAGATTCCTGTGCCAACTGGTTGACATTGGAGCATGACAGCCAGTAAGTGGGCTTGCCTCCAGGTCTTTTTATCCTCTGACTTTTCCTCCTCTATATCTCAGTTATTACCCAGTAGGCAGCCATGATCAGGTAAGAGGAAAGGATACCTGGTTCTATTTTCAGTTTCTGAAGTTTATGCCTAGTATCGGGGGCACTTTGGGAAATTCAGTACAACCTCAGGATTGCATTTCCTTCCAGTGACTCGGGGTCAGTGGTAGTATAGATTCAGAGGCATTCCCTGAGGTGCTCTAGGAACGCTGAAGGGTTTTCCATTGGCTCCTGACTGATTTCCTTTATCTTATTCCAATTGACAGGTTTCTTTCCTGCTGCCTGGATTCCCTTTGGGATCATATTTTTATAGTGGCTCAGCCTCTGTCTCCTACCCCATTCTCCATTGTCTCAGGGGTCCCAGTTGGGTTCATTATGGGGCACCACTTGGTTTCTCAGTTTGAAAATAGCATGACCAGCACTGTTTCCGTTCTTTGTCTGCTTCATCTCATGCTTTTGAAAAGACCATGGGCTTTTCTGCCATTAGGAATACATCGAGGAGGCTATGGCTGTCAGTCCAGGTGGGGTCTTAGGTCTGAAAGATTCCCCTAATCATATTCAGGAACCCCTCTGGATCTTCCCTCAGCCTCGTACTATGACTTTTCCAGTTACACAGATCAGAAGTGGTAAATGGGTCGTATACCTGGATGAGCCCTCCTGCCACAAAGGGAGTACTTTTCCTGGCAGGTTGTTGGACCCTGGCTAATAATTAGATCCACTTCCTGTAGTTGCGGGACTGGGTTCCGGGAAGGGGGGCTGGTATGCAGGGGGCTCCTCGGGCCTTTGGCCCAAATTGGGACATACGAAGGAAGGGGGTAGGGAGAGAGCAGTAGGAAGAGGGGAGGAGGAGATCAAGAAGGTCCTCAGAGGGAGGGTGAAGGACGAGTATTACCTCAATGGAGGAGAGCCCACATCCCTTGTAAAGGCCTTTGTTTGGATATAAGACCATAAAAAACTAGGCATAGGGAATTTTATCCCTTTCCTTTTGTCACTGGCAGAGCAGGTCCAATTGTAGAGTGGTGTTGTAATGTAGGGACCCATCGACAGACCAGCGATTCCTGTCTCCTAGCTTGTATTGGGGCCAGACTGTATTATATTGGGAGATTAAATGTTTCGGGGTTGGCGGTGATACCCCCAAATCTTCCAGTTCTGTAAGATGCACCCTAACCGGCTATCCTTTGGTAGGGTGGACCTTTGGTTTCCCCATACCTTAGATGTTCTGTTTTGGATTTGCTTCCAACTACCAAGGGGGCTGTTGGAGGAATTTGTAGGCACACAAATGTCACAGATTTGATTTCTGGTTTGAGAAATTTGGAACCAGCGCCATTAAGAGGCATCAAATGGCAAGAACTCTGGTAGAGCTGGGCGTCCCCCTTGAAGTTGTAACAGCCCGGGCTTGAGACAGTTAGACCCTCCTCGTCAGGATACCCCACAGGAGGGTACAGGGGCTGCCTCCACGTCACAGTAACTTAGCCATACTAGTTCCTGACCATCTCGGTCCATCAGGCACTGGCACAGCTGTCTGAGGTAGGGGTTGTCTCCTTCCGCCTTTTGGCTGAAAAGGAAGAGTTTTTGGACTTCCTGCCAGGTGAAAGTGAAAAGTATGAGGGATTCCCACAGAGTAATCACCAGATATCTGGAGCAGCTGATATTCTGTGCTGTTACAGGGAGGAGAGCCCGTGAACCCTTAATAAAGAATTACCCAATGTTCCCCTCAGAAGCAGAGGGGGAGGACAGACGGGGTGGTGGTGTTTCCTATTATTGTCAGCAGCTCACAGGGTTTCCTGATAATGGGGTTCCTGGTCTTATGCGTGGCTCACAAGGCTCCCCAGCCCACTTCAGAGAAAAGAGCACTGACCGAAAGAGGTTACCCACCTTTGGAGCCTTTCCCACTCGGGCCTCCTGGTGCCTTTTTCTGAACTCTGATGGAGCGTCCTCATCCTGTTTTGTCAGGTGGTCCTCATTACCTGGGCCTTTTCCTGGTCTCTCCTCTTGGCTCACAGGACTGGCCACTTCCTTTACCAAACTAAAAGTGATTATGGAGAATGTGGCTGGCAAGGAGGGCAAAAAGCCCTGGTGTGGCCATTACTGCCTTGTAGAGGGCCAAGAGGACAGCACTACTGGTGAAACAGTGGGCAAGACTTCCATGCTTCTTCCCACCCACAAGACCCCACTGTCCCCTCCATCCCCCCACCTCCACTGGGCACTGTGGGTAGACCAGCCAGAGACAATGGGCAGGCTTGAGTGAGTTTCAGTCTCCAATTCCCAAAGATGTTGCAGTATGATCCGCTCAAGGGGGTGCGGTCGAGATTATTCTGGGGGCTATGTTGTGTGTGCACCACACCTGGGTATCAGGTTTTTGGGCAGAGTTGCTCTGAATTCGCCTGAAGGCTTCCATTGTTCTACCCTAGAGTGAACTTAAATACCAGAGTCAGTCATCCTCACCTGAACCTCCCAAAGCCTCCGCCATCCTCCTGCTGGGGCTGGGACTAGCCTGGAGCCTAGTGGATAGGTGCAGGCAAAAAGGCCATGATCTGTCCCTTCATGGTTTCCAAAATTTGTGATTGACCCTTTCAAGTTGGGCCCCAACAAGGGTCCTCCACCCAGTGTTTTTCAAGCCATTAGAACAAGACTGAGTTTGGTTCGGAAGCAAAGGAAAGTTTTATTCTTTGATCAAAGAATGGAGACGTGCGGTCTCATACTTTAGAGTACATGCTCTCCCCAACAGGCTGTCAATGGGGCTGCCTTATGGGGTTCTTGTCGGCAGGGAGGAGGGCGGGGTTCTCATGGATCAGGCATAGCTGTGCCGCTTGTGGCTCCTGACTGGAGTGCTGGGTGCAGCATCTCTGAATTGTGGTGTTGTGGGCAGCACTTCTGCACACAGCCTGCTGAGCGGAAGTGCTGGGGCAGTCATTTTGTACTAGGAACTGAAGTGCTGGGTGTAAGGCCTCTCTCTGCACATGGTACCCTATGAGCAGGTGAAACTAGACTAATCACAAAGGAAAAGGAAAAAAAAGTTAGACTTTATTACCCAGATTCTATTTTTATTTCTTGGGAATTGTTCATAGGCTTTGTCAATGATATATGTGTGTGTATATACGTGTATGTGTGTATATATGTGTATGTATATATATATATATAAAATGTTTGATGCATACTAAACTCTCAATAAATGCTTCTTCTTATGATTCCTTATGGGTTCCTAACATTCATTTATTCATTCATTCATTTATTCAGCATATGTTGTTTCCTACTATGTGTCAGGGCCCATGTGAAGTATTGGGGTGCAGAACTGAAGAAGCTACAGTCCTCCCCTCAGGGAGCATACAGTCTGAGTGGAGGAGACCACCAAGGACAGGAGCCCAGCCCAGGAATCATTCTTGGCAGCTCCTCCAGGACTCCCCCATTGCTGATCTCACTGCCCAGCTACTCTATCTCCCAGACCACCCAGAATCCTCGTGTCCAACCACACAAGCATTCTTCATCTGGCACATTTTCAAACACCTGTTTTTGACAGACCTCCAGAATTAATACTTATGGTAAGGTTAATTTGATACTATCTTATTATTTATTTGCATATCTTACCATCCTTAGATGGTTTCCCCAAATGGCTTGGTTCTGTATCATTTTATAGGCCTAGTACAATGCCTGGGCCATGATAGGATATCCAAAAAAAGATGATAAGTGAATTAATTCATCTAGTCAGCAAGTATCCCTTGAGCTCTTACTATGAAGCAAGCATTGGACTAGATACTGGGAAGACAAGGACAAAGAAACCAAGAGTATCCCAGCCCCCAGTGAATGGATGTCTGATTCAGTGACTGAAACTGGACAACCTCTGAGGACCCAGACCTTCATGAGGCTGAAAGTGGTTCCATCAGCCTGGTATGACATGGACTTTCCAGCACCTTCTCTGCTTTCTTCCTGACGAACCCTCAGTGGGAGATGGCAGCCAGCCTGCTGTGGTTTACCTTATGTCCTGAACACTGGTGGCCAAAGGCTATATTTAAATAGCAAACATTTGCATTTTTAATGTTGACTAGAATTGGAAAGACTGATATTGGTTTTTACATGATTGAAATAGGCCTGGCTTCAGGCATTTCTTAAATGGAAAATTGAAAGTATTTCCAATAGAGAGGGCAGAACCATCTCAGAACACTGTGGCCGGTCTGTATCCTCAGAAAATATCACCTTGGGACTTCCTCAGTGGTCCAGAGGTTAAGATTCTGCACTTCCACTGCACGGGGCACAGGTTTGATCCCTGGTTGGGGAAGTAAGATGCCACATGCCATGCAGCGTGGCCAAAAAAAAAGAAAGAAAATATCATCTCCCTCCCCTGAGCACACTTGGCACCGTTGCCTTGTCAACATTTCAGGATCCTCTTAATCTTCACCTGGTCCTCTTCACCTTTTTTGGAGCACAGACAGCATGAGAACTACTAGTCCTATCTCCTTGGGGAGGAAATGGATTCTCAGAGGTGCAAACTGCTTACCTCTCTAATCTTCCTTTTCCTCATCTGTAACATAGGAATAAAAACTCTGCTTCACAGGTTTGCAAACGTGGTAATCTGTAAAGAAGTTTAACATCCCATGCCTGATACTTGGCTAATGCTCAGTGGACGTTAGTTCTGTCCATCCCCTGGCAGTGACCTGTCTAAGGTAATCCGTCAAAATCAGCTGAGAACCCTAAGCTCCTTGGCTCCCAGGTCTCTTTCCAAGAGGCCCACTGGACACGAGTAGGCTGAAGCATACATTTCTGGGTTAAAAGCAGAAGGACTCATTTCCATCTTCACTCTATTCTGACTACTCTCATTAACAGTATATGCCATGACAGCCTGCCTGAAGATTTCTTGACATCTATATTTTCCTTCTCTGTTTTTGTTGTAGTAAAAGTCACTGCATTGTCCAATATGGTAGCCAATAGTCACATGTGGCTATTTAAATTTAAATTAATTAAAGTTAAATAAAATTTAAAATTCAGTTCCTCAGCCCTAGTAGCCATATTTCAAGGGCTCAGCAACCACATGTAGCTAGTGGGTACCTTCTGCCTTCCCTAGTTCTGCTGGTCTGATGTGCTTCTGTGTCCAGCATTTTATTCATGTTCTTCAGAGGATTTGCCCAGTCGTATCCATGTCTCTTCACTGTATCTCCCCACAATGGTGATTCTCAAAATGCATGGAGGAAAGACCAGCATTTTTCTGTTTAGTTTTTGTTTCTGTAACTATCCAATCTATTGCAGGTGGGTGATTTTGTAAAATAAAATGAAATTTTAAACAACAGATATATAAAATATGGACCTTAGTTATTGTATTGTTAGATTCAAATTGCTATAAAGGTTTCTAAGCTTTTACTCTCAATTTCTATATTTTTCTCATCTTTAGCCAGTAACAGTTTTCAGGCCACACTTGGAAAAGCAGTGCCCTCCAGCACCTGCTTGAAGTCTCTGCATGTGGTCATCGCTTGATGTGCTTTATGGAATTCATTGGAAGTTGTCTGTCAGTGTTCCTCCAGATGTCTGAGGGATGCAGAGGAGTGTCTTTGTGGAGATGCCATTAGAATGAATAGGCCCCTCTGTGGCTGCGGGCAGATTTGGGTGAGGACACCAGTTCTACTGTCTAAGTAGCTTCATGACCCTGAACTTCTTACCTGAATGTGGTCTTGACCTGAAGCTAGACCAAGGTTCTTAAACTCTTTTTGGCCATGGCCCTAGTTGATAGTCTAGGGAGGCCTATGGATCTCTTCTCAGAATGTTTTAATGTTCGATATTTTAAATGCAGAAAATAAAAAACCACAGGATTTCAAAGAAAATCAATTATTCTCAAATACAATTATGAAAATGTATGTTGCACAAGTGTTTATTAACACATTAAAATAATGATATCTGTTTGTATTTGATTGCTTAGTAGCATGGAGCCTCCACCTGGAGGCTAAACAACATGCTGCTAAATAACCAATGGATCACTGAAGAAATCAAAGAGGGAATCAAAAACTACCTGGAGGGCCTCCCTGGTGGCGCAGTGGTTGAGAGTCCACCTGCCAATGCAGGGGACACGTGTTCGTGCCCCGGTCTGGGAGGATCCCATATGCCACGGAGCGGCTGGGCCCATGAGCCATGGCCGCTGAGCCTGCGCGTCCGGAGCCTGTGCTCTGCAATGGGAGAGGCCACAACAGTGAGAGGCCCATGTACCACAAAAAAAAAAAAAAAAAAAACCTACCTGGAGACAAATGAAAATAAAAACACAGCAATCCGAAATCTATGGGATGCAGCAAAAGCTGTTCTAGGAGGGAAGTTTATAGTGATACAATCCTCTCTCAGGAAACAAAAAAAAATCTAAAATAAACAACTACACTTACACATAAAGGAACTAGAAATAGAAGAACAAAACCCAAAGTTAGTAGAAGGAAAGAAATCATAAAGATCAGAGCAGAAATAAATGAAATAGAGACTTAAAAACAATAGAAAAGATCAATGAAACTAACAGTTGGTTCTTTGACAAGATGAACAAAATTGATAAACATTTACCCAGACTCATCAAGAGAAAAAGAGAGAGAGAGACTAAATCAATAAAATCAGAAATGAAAAAGATGTTACAACCAACACCACAGAAATACAAATGATCATAAGAGACTACTGTGCACAACTATGTGCCAATAAAATTGACAACCGAGGAGAAATGGACAAATTCCTAGAAACATACAATCTCCCAATACTAACCTAGGAAGAAACAAAAAATATGAACAGACCAATTACCAGTAATGAGATTGAATTTGTAATTAAAAATCTCCCAACAAACAAAGGTCCAGGACCATGTGGCTTCACAAGTGAATTCTACCAAACATTTAAAGAAGAATTAACACCTCTCCTTCTCAAACTATTCCAAGAAATTGCAGAGGAAACACTTCTGAACTCATTCTATGAGACCAGCATTACCCTGATAGCGAAACCAGAAAAAGATATCACACATACACACAAAATTACAGGCCCAATATCACTGATATGCATAGATGCAAAAGTACTCAACAAAATATTAGCAAACTGAATCTGACAATACATCAAAAGGATCAGACATGATGATCAAGGGGTTTTATGACAGAGATGCAAGAATTTTTCAATATCTGCAAGTCATTCAATGTGATACACCACATTAACAAATTAAAGAATAAAAACCATATGATTATCTCAATAGATTCAGAAAAAGCTTTTGACAAAATTCAACATCCATCAAAAACTCTCCAGAAAGTAGGCATGGAGGGAACACATCTCAACATAAAAATGGTCATATATGACAAGGGCAAAGCTAACATCATACTCAACAGTGAAAAGTTGAAAGCATTTCCTCTAAGATCAGGAACAAGACAAGGATGTCCACTCTCACCACTTTTATTTAATATAGCATTGGAAGTCCTAGCCACAGCAATC